GGGCGGGTGCTGAGGACCATGGGCCTATCCCACCTCATCCTTGTTGTTTCCGGTGCATGCCTGAGCCTGCATGACAACCCAACAGCAGGATGGTTGCCAAGCAGCAGATCCTCTTGGTGATCTGAATAATGAGTGGATACCAGTCACTGTGACTCACAAGCTGGCCATTTCCAGGAGACGTTTCTAGCACTTTGCTTTCTGTTTTTCTGTTTCTGTGCATAATTTCCAATATGGAGAGAGAGAGAGAGAGAGAGAGAGAAAGTCCGTTCTCAGCTGCGCTGAGAGTGTATGAAAAGATGCTAGAAAGCCCTCAGGTGGGTTGGGGACAGAAAAAGTAAATAGGCAGTATCATGAGAGACTTCAGAGGTGAAGAAAGGGGCATTTGAGGGGGTGTTCTGGGGTGCTCTCCATCTCAGAGGCTATAGGTGTGGGTGCTGGGAGTGGGGGGTGGAGCACTGAGCAAGAAGTCTTCCTCAACACCCTTCCAGTATTGAGGGACCTTTCATAGCCCAAGAGACACCGATGGACCCTGCCCCTTAGCAGAGGGACAGCGCTGGCTAGGGGCAGGGACCTGGGAAGGTGGGTGCGATCTGAAAGATGTTCCCAGGAAAATGTTCCTCTGAGCAGATACGGTTGGACTTCTTCCGAGACAGATTGGTTCGTCTGCCCACCCGTGGTGGTTTGTTCATGCTCTTTGTCAGCACCATAATTCAAACACATTGATTCTTCTTTGGAGTATCAGGTGAGGGGTGGGCATGAATGAATGGAAAATAGCTCATGAGTTGAAAGCATTCCCCAATTTTTTTTTTTTTAAAGAGGGATGAATAAACTGCAGAAACTAAAAGAATCCAAGGGCAAGTTCAGGCCATCACACCACCAGCGCTGGGCAATTCTTGCCCATTCTGGGAGCCCAAGCCCCGGCCAGGCCACCCCAAGTGACAGAGATAGCAAATGAGGCCAAAATCTAGCACTCAAAAGCTAGGCCCGAGCAGGGCACTTGGTGCAGGTGGTATATACCTCCAGAAACCAGACTCGCTGCCATCACGTTAATCCTGACTCACAGGGACCCTATAGGCACAGAACAGAACTGCACCTTTGAGTTTCTGTAAATGTCTATGGGAGTAGAAAGTTTCCTCTTTCTCCCACAAAGCAGCCGGTGGTTTCGAACTGCCGACCTCACTGTTAGCAGTCCAACATGTAAACCACTATGCCCCAGGGCTCCCTATAGCCCTAAAACCACCACCACCACCCCCATTTCACATAGGGGCACATTATGAGCTACGAGAGTCGTGTCTTAACAGTCGTGTTCCGAGAGTGATTGTCCCAGGCATAGGGGTTGATGCTCCACATTTCCTAGGGAGCCTGAAAGTTGGTGCAAAATGTTATCCACCTGACTTCCATTCATCCATTTGTCCATCCATCCACTCGCCATTCCTTGGGAACGTGCTTTGCTTCAGATAGGATTTAACCCCTGCTGGAGTAGCACCTCTGCCTCTGGACTGGCACAGCCAGTGAGTGCACACCCTAAAGAAGACCCCGGCTCCAGATTCCAAGCTGGCGCGCTCCCCCCGGAGCCCAGAGGGTGCTCAGAGGAAGCTCTGCCCACACCCTTAGGTCACCAAAAAATTATTTGTCGGGGCTGAGAGAAGAGTTGTCAGAGCTATATTAGATGCATTTTTAACAAAATTATTAAAACTACAAGTTCATATAATATGCTTTTGTGTTCCATTTTACCAAACAAATGGGCAAGGGAAATGTTTAAGTCGCTAAAATAATGTCCTCCCATGGCTTCTGTCACAAATTTTTTTTCACACATTGATAATTTGGGGTGGGAGGGGCTGGTCGGGAAGAGGCCTTATACCTCAAGTGGAGCCTGTCTTCCAAAGTTGAGCAGAATTCTGAGGTGATAGATCAATACTCCTATCCTAAATACACAATCCACATAGATGGTTTAACATGCCTCCAGGGGGGCCTTAGATGCATCGTTTCCCCTGGACCCCAACTGTGTCTCTCATAGGACACAGTGGCATGCATGAAAGGTTCAACCTCCCCGGGTGCGGGCACTGTTAGTCTTAGATGGCATGTGGAATGTTGACAGCCGGCATGCTGGCCCAAGGAATAGTGCAACTTTGAACTAAGAACGTGTTGTGACGGAAGGAACCTGGGCTGCTGTGACTGGCTTCTGCTTGGCACAAGTTTGTGCTTGTGCCTGTGGTCCACTCAGGTGTTTCCGATGGGGCGGGACTCAGGTGTTTCCGATGGGGCAGGACTCCTGTGCAGGCGTGGCCTTCCCTCTAGAGCAGCGGTGCTCAACCTTCCCAATGTGGTGACCCTTTCATGCAGTTCCTCATGTGGTGGTGACCCCCCCAACCATAAAATTATTTTCGGTGCTACTTCATAACTGTAATTTTGCCACTGTTATGAATCATCATGTAAGTATCTGATATGCAGGATGTATTTTCATTGTTACAAATTGAACACAATGAAACATAATTAAAGCATAGTGATTAATCACAAAACATGTAATTACATATTGTGAAATATTTGAGTTTTCCGATGGTCTTAGGTGGCCCCTGTGAAAGGGTCGTTCGGCCCCCCAAAGGCGTCGAGACCCACAGGTTGAGAACAGCTGCATTAGGGGCAGGGGCAGCAGCCGTGTTAGAGCATGGCCCTCACTGGGCCACCAAATCAGAGGGTCCCTTCAGGGTCACGGGGCGGGTGCTGAGGACCATGGGCCTATCCCACCTCATCCTTGTTGTTTCCGGTGCATGCCTGAGCCTGCATGACAACCCAACAGCAGGATGGTTGCCAAGCAGCAGATCCTCTTGGTGATCTGAATAATGAGTGGATACCAGTCACTGTGACTCACAAGCTGGCCATTTCCAGGAGACGTTTCTAGCACTTTGCTTTCTGTTTTTCTGTTTCTGTGCATAATTTCCAATATGGAGAGAGAGAGAGAGAGAGAGAGAGAAAGTCCGTTCTCAGCTGCGCTGAGAGTGTATGAAAAGATGCTAGAAAGCCCTCAGGTGGGTTGGGGACAGAAAAAGTAAATAGGCAGTATCATGAGAGACTTCAGAGGTGAAGAAAGGGGCATTTGAGGGGGTGTTCTGGGGTGCTCTCCATCTCAGAGGCTATAGGTGTGGGTGCTGGGAGTGGGGGGTGGAGCACTGAGCAAGAAGTCTTCCTCAACACCCTTCCAGTATTGAGGGACCTTTCATAGCCCAAGAGACACCGATGGACCCTGCCCCTTAGCAGAGGGACAGCGCTGGCTAGGGGCAGGGACCTGGGAAGGTGGGTACGATCTGAAAGATGTTCCCAGGAAAATGTTCCTCTGAGCAGATACGGTCAAATCTGACCCACCCCGTCAGCCATTTCTCAAATCTGGGAGGGGACGCCCGGCATTCCAGAACAAGGGAGTTGGAGAATACCAATCCTGAAAAAGGCATTTAGCTGCAGCTCTGTCTTGTCTCCCTCAAGAATTCGGAGCGTCTCATGAGCAGACGCCTAGGTGGAGCCCCAGTGGACCCTGAGTTCCTCCGCTGGAGGCATGAAATGAGGAGACACGCCCCAAGGATGGGAACCAAAGAGCGTGCCCAGGGCTCCCCTCCAGCGGCATTCCAGGGGGAGGGAAGGCACGCCTTCCTGGCCACCCCCACTTGAGGCAATCAGCAAGGGAGGCACTCTTCATAGGTTAAGCACACTTCATTCTTCAGAAGGAAAGATCCTGTCTAGTTTTGGCAAGCACAGAAGCTCCTCACCTTATTCCCAGCCAGATTCTCGTCTGATGCAAATCTTTCGGAGAATCAAGTTGTAGCACCGCTTTGCATGGAGTGGAACTCCAGCCAGTCTTTCCCCAGAGTTAGCCTGGGCTTAAATCGACTACATCATCTCCATGGCAACCAGCGGCCAGCCAGGGAACGTGGTTGCCTCCTCAATCCTCTCTTCCAGGCTCCGGTCTTCTTCGCTGTGATTAAAACCAGTCTCTTTGCTCTCACTTGCTCTCACCTACCTACTATCATTTTGGGGCCTGCATTTTTGGTTACCACTTCCCTTCCAGTCTGCTTGTAAAATCCTCCATCCAACTGAAAAGCAAAGGAGCGTTAGTCATTGCTTGACAGTGGTAACTGACCTGTTTGGACAAGATCAGGCAGATTCCATGGGCACGGGCAGATTCCATGGGCAATCCAAAGTGGAATTCACCTTCAAGTCTTGCCAGCCTAATTAATAACTGTTTGGGAATGTTGGACAGCCAGACCAAATACGGTACTGCTACCCGTTTGGAGACTCTACCTTTCTGCATCCCAGAAGTCATGTTAACATCATTTACATGTCTGTAGAGGACTCCTGGTGGTTATGCATTGGACTGCGATCCGAAAGGTCAGCAGTTCGAAACCACCAGCCGCTCCCAGGGAGAAAGAGAAGGCTTTCTACTCTTGTAAAGAGTTACTGTCTTGGAACCCCACTGGGGCAGGTCTACCCTGCCCTGTAGGGTCGCTGTGAGTCAGCATCGGCTCTATGTCAGTGGGTTTGGTTTGGTTTGTGGTTACCTGTGTGTGTGCGCGTGTGTTATTTTGCATCTGTGCATTAGAGTCATCGTGCTTTAACAGAAAGGAGGGGGCATTAGAGTCGTGCAGTTGAGCCCCCTCCTGGCACTTCATAGCATTTTGACCACCGAGCATCCAGCCTCTCTAGGCCTCTGTGTTTACATCTGTAAAATGGGTCTGACTCCTGAAGTTGTGAATAGGAAATGATATTGCTTAATACTAAACTCTCGGGACCACCTGAGCCCCCTGCCCCAGCCCTCTCCAAAGCATGTGTGTTTCTTCTTTTTAATGATGATGATGATGATGTGTTTAGTCTGCATGCTCTCAGCCTAGCAACACTCTTCTGTGTCTCTCCACCAGGGGGCACCCTCCTACCAGGGACCGAGCCCACAGTGGACACGGTGCCCATGCAGCCCATCCCAGCCTACTGGTATTACGTAATAGCCGCTGGGGGCGCCGTGCTGGTGCTGGTCTCCGTCGCGCTGGCCCTGGTCCTCCACTACCACCGGTTCCGCTATGCGGCCAAGAAGACCGATCACTCCATCACCTACAAAACCTCCCACTACACCAACGGGGTCCCTCTGGCGGTGGAGCCCACCTTAACCATTAAGCTAGAGCAAGAACGCGGCTCCCGCTGCTGAGGGCCGAAGCAAGGACAGCACCCAAAACAAACGAGAAAGACTGCAAACGCGTTGCCTCGATTTTGCACTTTTTTCTCCTCGCCTAGTCTCTGTGTGGACTCTCAGACTTCTCTCTCCCGGGTGCCCAGACCCCGTGCGCCTGTAGCCATCCCAGCCATTTGCCAGGGGCTCTTTGGTTTTCCTCTTCTTCTTTGGGCGATTCCAAACCAACACCACCCAACTCTAATGCTGCATCTGGGATTGTGATGAGAAGAGACGCCGCCCTAAGCGCTCCACCACTCACGGCTCAGCTGGTTCTGTTCCAGAGACTCGCCCCTTGATTTTCTTCCCCTTGCCTTATCCCATACCTCCTCCCGGTGGGCAGTCTGCCAGGAGACTTGATGGGAAACCTGGACCTGTGCGTCTGTACATAGTATGTGTTTGTGCGTGGGGGGTAGCGCTCTCTGAGTGGGTGCGTGAGTGTGAGAGAGAACGTGTAATTCATTGTGTGTGTGTGTGTGGTGTGTGTTGGGTGGAGTGTGATTGTGGACCGTGAGGGCCCCCTGGAACTCTGTGTTCTTTCTCCTGGGGTACATTTTACAAGAAAATAATATGTTGTACTAGTTTTGTTTACTGGAGAAGAGATTGAAGCTTTTTGTTGCCTTATCCAGCTCTGGCTGGGTTTCTGTTGGCTGTCATTGTCATCTCCAGGGACCTGAAAAGTAAGAGGTCACACAGAATGGAATGTGGCGCTTCTTGTCCCCATCCTCCCACCCACCACCCACCTGACCCAAGAGGAAGGTTCCCCCAATGGACTCAGACATGACCCTGTGTCGTGTCTCCTGGTGTCTTTGAGATAAAAAGATAACAGCCATTGGGTGCAGACGGAGCCAGCTCTACTTCCAGCCCTAAAGCAGGTCGGTCTCCTGTTGCCTTATAAAAGAGAGTCTCATAATGAATGTTTAGCTTTTCTCAGTGAAGTCCAATGTTGGAGTAAGTCGTAGAGAATAACGAACCTGAAAGGGACATATACAAAGCAGTCATGGAGTTAAGTAGAACCCAGACGGAGAGGAGGGAGGAGAAGGAGGGACTGAATTGTCTCTTCAAAGTCTGCTCACCTCGGAGGCTCACCTTGGTGGGGCAGGAGGACGAGGGTGGGAGACTGGGTTCTTTGGTGTGGTACCGATCCTCACCATTGCCTTTGTACCACGTTCCTCTCATGGTGTTCATGTCTGTCTGAGTCTGCAGCCACTTAGATAGAAAGCTGTCTACCCGACTCCACTGCCATAGTCTGAGAAAATAGAAAGTAATCGCTTCTTTTCCGTGTACCCGCTTGCCTCCCCACCCCCACCTCCACCCCAAAAAGCATTAGCGGCATCGGTCAGATTTGCCCAAGCAGACCGGCCTGCCCTCTGTGGGTGTTGCTTCATCCTAAGAGCAGAAGGATAAGGAAGAGAAAGCCGCTGCTTGTCCAGTTGTACTCTCTGATCGACACAGGGAGAGGGGTGTCAGAGAGGATGTGCCCGGTGACACTGTACACAGCAGGGATTAAATAATGGAGTCGATTGCATTGGGAGGAGACGCGTGTTTTCACAAGATTGTCCGTGTCCTGAGACTCAGCCCCCAGGGCGTTTGTTTCTCACGGTGCCTCCAGGACCCCACCTGGGAGGCAGAAGATTCTCTCCAAAGATAGTGGCTTGGGCTGGAAGCCTCCAGGTGCCAGCTGAGAACGAACGGTCGGTTTCGAGGAGTGGGGTGGGCTTTCTGGGAGAGAGAGAGGCTTAGCATTCTTTGGCATAGCCAGAGAAGTTCCCTGTGCACACACTCACTTTCACATCTGGTTTGTTTCCTCCTCCTGAAAGAACGGTGCTCTCCCACTCTTGATTCAAAGAGCCGCTCTGGCTCGGCCACAGCAGCCCTGCCAAGAAAAAGACGGAAGGCTAGCTAGCAGGGGCAACCCTGAGATTTTGAGACGTGGCTGAGGACGCTGAGACAGAAGATGGAGACGGGCCCGGGAGGGGGAAGGTGGGCAGCGGTTCGGGATTCCATGTGGCGACTTCCCTCACCAGGCCTCTAAGGGCCTTTTGTTCTCAGGTGTGCACATGCCCACGTCCGGGTGTGTGTTTGGGACCAGGCATCCCCTCAAAATGATTGGCATCCCTGTAGCTGCCCCTGGAGGCCAGAGACAACACCTGGAAAATCCAGGCAGTGTCGAAACTGGCGAGTTACCACATACCCTCCAGTATGTCCCCTTGTTACAAGAAGAGCAACAATTCCTGTGACCTGGCTGCATCTCTATCGGCTACCCCATGTGGGGAACACGCATCATCTTTATATCCATGCCATCGCTGAGCATACGGGAGCTCATAACTTGTGACTCCCATGCTGCCCTGTAACTGGGGATTTCTTGCTCTTTCCCGCGCCCTTGGATCTCACCTCTTGTCTCTCCTCCCCTTTCCTTCTTCTCTTTCCCCTTCTCTCCTTCTCGCTTGCCTTCTCTACCCAACTCACTCCTGGCTGTCTTTCCACTCAGTAGCCTTCATAAGATTAGCCACGTACGATGCTAAAAGGGCAGGTCTGGAGAAATGCCATGCCTTGCACCTTTGAAGAGCAAAATCCCCATAGTTCATGGAGAGAGGGAAGGGTCGCTCTCTTTCCAGAGAAAAAATTAACCTGGAAAGGTGAATGCATGCGTGCATGTGGTCAGTTTCTACTCAGAAGACAGAAATGCGATAGCAACTATCCGTATACCAATGGGTGCATGACTGAGCGAATCCAAGGACTTGATGGGGCGGGGAAAGCGTCTTGCCTTAGTAGAGGTTTCACGGCCACACCTTCAGGAGGGAGCCGGTGTCTGGTATAACACTCTCTTCCTTGATAGACTACTAGCCATCATTACCACCTCCTGAGTGGCTAAGGAGGAAAGGGGGTGGGGGAGTATTCCTAGCATTGCCATTGACACCCCATGATGTTGGAAACAGAATGGTCCTTTCCCTTGTCCAACACTTTGGAGATTAAAGCCAGAATTGAATGGGAAATCTAGCGCTGTGTGTAAGGTCGATTCGATGCCCATCTTTGAAAAGACTTTGTCTTTACAATGAAACAAACAGGCAAACAAACCCCTAAATCATCAAAAATTACCAAAGAACAACAACAAAAGGAAAAAAAAAATCAAGATTTTTGCTTCCTATCCTGTCCCACCCACCACCATCCCCTTCGCCTTGTAACTGTGACACCCGTCTCTGCGTTGCTCAGTTGCCTGTGTGTCAAAATAACGTGTGGCCGTTGGAAACGATTTGAAACTGTATTGTGTGGAATGTAATAAAATGATGATATTTTTATACAAACATCTGGGTTTTTTTTCCCCCTCCACCTTTGCCTGGGAGAACGAAGTTGAAATATAGGCTTCTCACCGGTGGCTGTTTGCACAGCCCACACCCCGTGGAGCTGCAGGGCATGTCTGGGGGTGGTGGGTGGGTTTTCTCCGGGAGTCTGAGGAGAAAACATTTCCTTCTTTTATTTTTATTACTACTTGTGAGTTTTCTCTCGGTTGTGCAACTGAGCCAACTTTTTTTATGATTAGTGTGGGGTCTGGGGAAAGTTGCAAAATTGCCCTCCATTGCTCAATGTGATTCCACAAAATTCCTCCTGATGGCATGTCTCTGGAGATGAGACTACTTTTGAAGGCCCCAGAGGGAGTGGGGCCAGCTACGGCGGACCCTGTCCTCAGCTCCACCCGGAGAATGAAGCTCTCCCTGAAGAAATGGCGACAGCCTACCCCTCCCTGGCCTACCAAGTCATGACTGCCGCATAGACCTGGGTGGCCCACACATAAGCACTTTCCCAGACAAAGTGGGCGCTGGTAGCATGCGTGGGCCTCAGACAGTCGAGTCTTTGTGTTTTAGTCATTAATGAAGACACCCATATGATTACTTGGAACTATCAGGGGGAATATTTTATAATAGGAACTTCCTATAAACACTAGAAGGAGAAGGGACTTTAGGAACCGTACTGGGGGGAAAAAACCCAACAGAACTTATATGACAACACCCCCCCCCCTGTCCTTCTCTTTGGATAGTCAGTGATGTAGGTAAAGGAAATCTTTTTTTTACAAGAAGGGGATTAGGAAAAAAAATTAGCACCCTAAAAAATAGACGGTCTTCAGCTATTCAAGGTTTCTCGGTGGTGTTCCCAAAAAAAAGGTCACAAAGGAGTTTCCCAAGAGCCCTTGCCCATGAGGGTGTGTGAGGAATATGGTCTCAGTCCCAGAGCCACCTCTGGCCTCTGGGAACTCCCCCAAGGTCTTAAGGAAAGGGGTGTGTCTAGAAGACCCTAGGGGGAACCCACATAAAACCTGTCCAGGCAGCACCCAACAGAGCCAGGCTTCTGTCTGCAGGTGGCACAGGAGGCCCCGTCTGGCTGGCTGGCTCAGCATAGGTGTCACTCTGTGTCCTCTGCAGAATTGAGCAGGATGTACGTCACTAGAGCATGGCGGATGGGGAGCAGATTCCCATTTTGCCTAAAGAACGCTGGGTTATCCTGCGTGCCGTCACTCGAGGATGAAATGAAAGCATTTCAAGAGTTCATTTCAAGCCCAGATCTGGGCTTTCGTCAGCACGCTCCCAAACTCACCGGGGAGCACATTGCTGGGGCCTGCGGTAGCCGCTGGGCTGTGCCCGTGGTTTCATGTGCTTGGCTGGGAATCGCGAGGTGGAAGGTTCAGGGCCACCTAGAGCAGTGGTTCTCAACCTGTGGGTCACAACCCCTTTGGGGGTCGAACGACCCTTTCCCAGGGTCCCCCGATTCATAACAGTAGCAGAATTAAAATGATGAAGTAGCAACGAAAATAATTTTATGGTTGGGGGGGTCACCACCACATGAGGAACTGTATGAAAGGGTCGCGGCATGAGGAAGGTGGAGAACCCCTGACCTAGAGTCACCTCCGCAGAAAGGCCTGGTGATTTGCTTCGGGAAAGCAGCTCTGGCAAGCCCTCCCCCCGCCCCCACCCCCAGGAGCCCAGCTCTCTGACTCCTGGAGCCCACAAGGCAGCAGCTGGGTCTGGCGTGCTTGGTTAGCATGGCTTCTGTATGGAGCCGCCTGTGGGGCTTCATCGTGCCTTTGTCCACCCTGGTTTTGGTCCCCTGGCTTGTTTTACAGGGAACCCTGACTCCTTCAGAAGGACAGAAGCTAGGGAGTCCAGTCCTAGGCACCGAATACAGCCCGGTCACCTGTCCCCAGTCCTCTGTGTCATATTTCAAATGTAGCCCAAGCGTCCGTGTGACAGACTGCGTGCTTCTGTGCATCGTCCACACCGGGTGTCAGGGCCCCATGTGCTTGGTTTCTGCCTCTGCCGGGTCCTGAGTGGTGGTTTCGACATGCACACTTGCTACTAGCACTGCCCTCTCAGCCAGGAGAACAGGAGCCAGCCAGCCTGACGTGCCCCCTGCGTGTTGTCCTCACCCTCTCCACTCACCCCGGCGTTGTTTGTGCGAAAACATTGTGGCCTTCCTGTAATCTGTGATGAAAAAGCGCTTCCATTTTGAGAGTGGCATTTGGCTGCGTTCTGGGCCACACATCAGAGCCGAGCTGCGGATCTGTAGGTGCAGGCTTGTTTCCCTTTAATTGTGCAGATCACTGGGGCCCTCGCAGCTGTAATTTGCCTTTCATCTACTTCAATGATGGCCCAAAGAAAACACAAACAACGCCAACCAGAGACAGAGGAGGGGAGAGGGGACCCACACAAGCTGGATGGTCTTATAGTAAGCACAGGAGAACTGCCTTGATCGAAATCCATCAAAATGTAGGAATATCCTGAGCCTGAGTTCAACTTCACCAAGGTCAGGTGCACTGGGTATGTACAGAGGTTGGGGACAATCAGAAAGACACCCTACCAGCAGCTTCTGCGCCGACTGCCCCCGAGGAGGTCCCTTTGGCCCCAAAGCGAAGTGCTGAAGACATCCAAGATTTGGGAACTCGCCAAAGAGCCAAGCCCCATTTTCCAGGAACAGTGGACAGTTTCAAGGCAACCAGTGGAAGGAGCTAGTCTTGCCCACAGGGCAGGAGATTCCGAAACATTCTCTTCTCTTCTGAGCAGACACTGTACTTGGGTTGACCTCTGAAATCCCAAAACACTGAAATAAAGTCGCCGAGGCACTGAACCAAGAAATCAGAAAGGTCATTAGAAAGGGTCAGCCGCCGGGTGCTGAGGACAGGGTTCTTGTTGGGTGGAGCGGGCCCTTTCCTCGAAGGCTTAGTTCCTTCCTCGTCTCTGAGGCTGAAAGAGATTGTTGGGGGCACATGTTAGGACAGCAACTGGCTGGCTTTCTTTTTTAACGGGAGTGATTCACCAGTTAGATGTGATCCCGTCCTCCAACAGTGCACGGCCGAAGAGGCAGAAGCCTCGTGCGCTCTCAATAAGCTGTGCTCGGCTCCCTGGACACCACCACGAAGATGGCCCAAAGTAGGTCTTTCCGGACCTTGTATTGTCTGTCTGATGGCACATATACCCACGCAGAAGTACGTGGCCTGGTCTTCTTCGTTGTTTGGGCTGCTTTGTTTTTGTTTTGTTTCCTTCCCCATCGGTGGAATCAGGTGTGCTCACTTGGCTGGATGGCCACCTGCTTCTTCCATTCGGCAACGTCTTGATGACCCTCCTGTCGGACCTGCAGATCGGTCCCGTCCTTTGCAGCTATTGCATCAACTACCGCAGTTCACGCACTGCTCCCTGTCGGTGAACATGCAGGTTCTCTCCACCCGTTTTTTTTAAAACTGTGTACACAAGACCCCAGCGAACAGCCTTGCATTTGCATCTTTCCATAGCTGTGTCCGTCGGCCACTTTTCCAGGTCACAGAGGTGCGGTGCCTGTTTTCCCCTGCAGAACTGATTCACATGGCTGAGGGTTGAGGGTTGTGTAAGTGACTCCATCGCCGTCGGGAGGGCAGCTGGCTGGTGGGCAGCCTGGACCACATTCCCCGCAGCAGGAGACAGCATTCCCTAAAATGGGCATGGTGCTCACAACAGGGAAGGCTCAAGGCAGTTTTAGCTGAAGGGAAATTTCATTCCCAGAGTTTACGGAGGATTTTTCTCTCTCCCATTATTGCACTTTGTGGAGAAACGGGTGTGGTCCCCACAGAGGCTCGCCAGAGCTGTTGGTTCTGTCCCCGGGTTCAGCCAGCAGAGCCCTGGTCTCCATGATTAATGAGTTCCACTTGGTTTCTTCAAAGGGTGACTGTGCTGGCTCTCGCTGTTATTTATTTATGTTTGCTACTGAAAAATTCATGTGAAAAACAACCTAGCAGGTCAGTGCACAGCATTGTGTTGCAGACTAGAATATTCCAGCAGCCACAGGTGGGCCCGCGTGCCAGACAAAAGCTTCGTTCGAATCCTTGGGGCCTTGTGACCCAGGAGCCCAGGCCGGCCCTGAGAGGAGCAAGCCTTGCAGGCTGAAAGGAAACAGCTAGTGTTCCTTGAAGAGGTTCGGGACTCACATCCCCTGAGAGAGGGCACCAAGAGGAGAGGTTGTTTTCTAGTGAGGGGTTGAGATATGTAGAAGAAGCTACTAGCCCCAAACGCCTGTAAGGAGTGGCAGGGGGTAAGCAGCTGAGGGACCTTTGAGTCAGAAACACCACTCTTCCCAAGAGCCCTGCCTGGCTTTCTCCTGCGCCTTCAGACAGAAGGATCCTTAACCGTGTGACTTTGACTCTGGGCCCGATGCAGCATGTCTCTGGCCACCGATGTGCTGTGTGGGCTTCCTCGGATCCGCTCCAGAGCCAGGCCCGCTGCCTCATGGCCAGGGGGCTTGAGTAGGTCGTTCACGCGTGGTGACCCCGATAAGGAAGTGGTGACTATGAGGTCTGGGTGGACGAAGTCATTTCCACACACACACTCACACCTTGTTTGATCTTCTCGGCGCGACTGTGCAAAAATGGAACCCTTTAACCCTCATTGGCTAACGTTGCCCGGAAGCGAAGGCTCCGATCCAGATCCAGGATAATGATGTACCATGTCTTGCCTTTCAACCACTAGGGTGGCTTCCCCAGGCAGCGGGACACATTAGCAGAAGGCCTGGACTCGCGTTCTCTGCAACTTGTTAGAAAGCAGTCTGCTCCAGTCATGCCGCAGGCGGAGAAAGCTTTGAGCAGGAGGGGTCTTTGACCGCCGTCCTCGTCTCAGCCGGCCTGCCGTTTCACAAGGCTTCACGGTTAGCAGTCTGTTAAAGACTCTTTTTTCCCTTGTGTGCTTCCTTACTGCCACCGGGGGGCTGGAGGCCGGGCACCAAGTCAGTGAAGTTTAGTGGGGGGCACCACATGGAGCAGGTGGTGGGGGGCCACCTCTGACAGCT